GCCACAAACACAAGGTACCATACGTTGGGTACTACGGCAGGTAAGACAACAGGTTTTGGAGTTGGGCACAACCAAGTTTGAGTCCAGAACCTCCTCCACTTTCTCACTTGCCTTCAGACAAGTTTCTTAATTTTTCTAAACTTCATTTTCCTATTTGTAAAGTGGAGATAATAATACTTTGTAGAAGGAATTTTTTGTTGCCTTGGTTGTTGTATTCAGTTACTGTTATAGTAACAACTGGTACCTCATAGTGTTTTTGTGAGGATTAAATGAGGTAATATATACATATACGTGTACTAGAAGGTCAAAAAATGTTCGTTAATACAATTATATGTTTGGGTGCCATATATCAGGTTGAACATCTAAATAATTCCAAGCCAATATAGCCTTTCTTAAGTTATTTTTCTTACCATTAACAGGAAGATTGGCTCCTTATTTTCCTTTGTCCCTTCACTACTATCAATTCTATGGCTTTTCAACACTTTGCAATAAAAGGATGAACTAATCTGGTATCGAGACATGAGAAATGGCCTTGGTCTCCATTCTCCAGACATCCTTCTGACAAACTCCTCTGAAACCCAGAGCAACAAAGAATGGAGGACAGAAAACAGAGCGGCCATACATAGAACTGATGAAAACGAAAACAAAAACACAGTTTGTTCAATATAAGGAAGAATTTTCTAACAACCAGGGCTGCTAAAATACAGAATGGGGATCCAAAACTTGATAGGTTCTTATGGTTTAAGGGGACTTCAGAGGTTATTTCTCAGTTATCCTCTCAGTTTGAATTCTTCCTATACCATCATTGAAGAGATACTCGATTTCCTACTTTAGCAGCTCTAAGAAATGCTTAAACACGGAAAACTCATTTACCCCCCAAGAATGACATCCCACTTTGAGAAAACTTTCCAGGGGTCAGCAAATTTTTTTTCATTAAAGGAGCAGACACTAAATACTTTTGGCTTTGTGGGTCACACACAGTCTCCATCTCTGCTTCTGCTTCCACGATAGCCCTTTGAAAATATAAAAACTATTCCTCATTCATAATCTGTTATGAATCAAATGTTTGTGTTTCCCCCAAATTTATATGTTGAAACCTTAACCTCCAATGCAATAGTATTTGGAGATGGGGTGTAAGGGTAGAGCCCCAATGAATGGCATTAGTGCCCTTATAAGAGAAGGCATGGAAAAGTTTGCTTCTTCTCTCTCCCTCACCCATGTGAGGAGAAGAGGGGGAGAGGGCCATCTCTAAACCAGGAAGTGGGTCCTTACTAGACAACAGGTCAGTCAGCATCCTCATCTTGGCCTTTCCAGACTCCAGAACTGTGACAAATAAAGCTTTATCATTTAGGACACCCCATCTGTGGTATTCTGCTATAGCTGCCCAAAGTGACTAAGATGCAATCCATACAAAAACAGGCCGTGAAAACAGTATGGAGTCTCCTCAAAAATTACCATAAAAACTACCATATGATCCAGCAATTCCATCTTTGGGACTATATCCAAAGGATATATAAACACTAACTCAAAAAGATATCTGTCCCCCTCCACATTCATGGCAGTATTGTTTACAATAGCCAAGACATGGAAACAACTTGAGCTTCTTTTTTTTTAATGAAATATTTTTTAATTTAAATTCATTTAATTAACATAGAGTGTATTATTAGTTTCAGAGGTAGAGGTCAGTGATTCATCAGTCTTATATAATACCCAGTGCTCATTGCGTGCCCTCCTCAGTGTCCATCACCCAGTTACCCCTTCCCCCTACCCCCTCCCCTCCAGCAGCCCTCAGTTTGCGTCCTATGATTAAGAGTCTCTTATGGTTTGTCTCCCTCTCTGATCTCATCCTGTTTTACCTTTCCCTCCCCTCCCCTATGATCCTCTGCTTTGTTTCTTAAACGCCACATATGAGTGAGATCATATAACTGTCCTTGTCTGATTGACTTATTTCACTTAGCATAATGCCCTCTAGTTCCATCCATGTCGTTGCAAATGGCAAGATTTCTTTTTTTTTTTTTTGATGGCTGAGTAGTATCCCATTGTGTGTATGTGTGTGTGTATATATATATATATATACCACATCTTCCTTATCCATTCATCTGTCGATGGACATCTAGGCTCTTTCCACAGTTTGGCTATTGTGGACATTGCTGCTATAAACATTGGGGTGCATGTGCCCCTTCAGATCATTACATTTGTATCTTTGGGGTAAATACCTAGTAGTGCAATTGCTGGGTTGAAGGGTAGCTCTATTTTTAACTTCTTGAGGAACCTCCATACTGTTCTCCACAGTGGCTGCACCAGCTTGCATTCCCACCAACAGTGTAGGAGGGTTCCCCTTTCTCCACATCCCCGCCAACATCTGTCGTTCCCTGACTTGTTCATTTAGCCATTCTGACCGGTGTGAGGTGGCATCTCATTGTGGTTTTGATTTGTATTTCCCTGATGCCGAGTGATGTTGAGCACTTTTTCATGTTTCCATGGGCCATTTGTACATCTTCTTTGGAGAAATATCTGTTCATGTCTTCTACCCATTTCTTGATTAGATTATTTGTTCTTTGGGTATTGAGTTTGATAAGTTCTTTATAGATTTTGGATACTCGCCCTTTATCTGATAAGACATTTGCAAATATCTTCTCCCATTCTGTCAGTTGTCCTCTGGTTTTGTCAACTGTTTCCTTTGCTGGGCAAAAGGGAAACAACTTAAGTTTATATCAATGAATGAATGGATAAAGAAGTTGAGGTATATATATGCAATGGAATATTATTCAGCCATTAAAAAACAAGGACATCCTACCATTTGCAACAATATGGATAAAGTTTGAAGGCATTGTGCTAAGTGAAGTAAGTCAGGCAGAGGAAGACAAATACTGTATGATTTCACTTACATGTGGAATCTAAACACACACACACACACACACACACACACACACACACACACACCAAACCCATAGCAAAAAAGATCAGATTTGTGGTTATCAAAGACAGGGGGTAGGTAGAGGAGGACTTGAAAGAAGGTGTTCTAAAGGTACAAACTTTCAGTTACATGTAATGTACAACATGATGATTTTAGTTAGTGCTGCTGCATGAAATCTAGGAAAAATTGTAAAGAAAGTAGATCTAACTCTGAAAAACAAACTGAGGGTTCTAGTGGGGGGATGGGTTAGCCTGGTGATGGGTATTAAAGAGGGCACGTTCTGCGTGGAGCACTGGGTGTTATGCACAAACAATGAATCATGGAACACTACATCAAAAACTAATGATGTAATGTATGGTGATTAACATAACAATAAAAAATTATTAAAAAAAAAAAAGAAAGTAGATCTAAGAGGGACGCCTGGGTGGCTCAGATGGTTGAGCACCTGCCTTCAGCTCGGGTCATGATCATCTTCGGGTCCTGGGATCGAGCCCCGCATCTCACTCTCTGCTTAGTGGGGAGCCTGCTTCCCCCTCTCCCTTGCCTCTCCCCCTGCTTGTGCTCTCTCTTTCTCAAATGAGTAAATAAAATCTTAAAAAAACAAAAACAAAAAGAAAGTAGATCTAAGAGTTCTCATCACAAGGAGATTTGTTTTCTTTTCTTTTTATAGTCTCTATAAGAGATTATGGATGTTATCTAAACCTATTGTGGTCATTTCACAATATGTATAAATCAAACCATCATGCTGTACACTGTAAACTTATACAGTGATTTTTGTCAGTTATTTCTCAATAAAGCTGAAGGAAAAAAACAAAACAAAAACAAAGCTATGCCATGGGCAAAATCCTACCTGCCATTGTTTGCCAACTCCTGTTCTAAAATTGGATGATTCTTCTCAGTATTTTTTTAAATATTTATTTCTTTATTTGAGATAGAGTGAGAGCGAGAGAGAGAGCAAAGTGGCGGGGGTGGGGGGGGCAAAGGCAGAGGGAGAAGCAGGCTCCCCACGGAGCAGGGAGCCCAATGCGGGGCTCGATCCCAGGACCCTGAGATCATGACCTGAGCCGAAGGCAGACACTTAACCGACTGAGCCACCCAGGAGCTACCCCTCCCCCTGCTTTTTCAGATTTTATTTATTTATTTGAAATACAGTGAGAGAGAGAGAGAGAGAGAGACATGAGTTAGGGGGAAGAGGCAGGGGGAGAAGGAGAAGCAGGCTCTCCACTGAGCAGGGAGCCTGGATTCTTCTCAGCATTAAGCCAAAATCTACCCCCTCAATGTTTCCATCCCTTAGCCCTAGTTCAGTATAAGAAAATATAATAGAATCTCTCCTTGAACTTCTACTTAGCTTATTCTGTCAACTCTATGGGATATGTACTATGATTATCCCACTTTATGGACAGGGAAGTGGAGACTTAGAACTTGCTCTAACTTACACAGCTCATTACAGGTGGGATCCAGGATACAAAACCTAGAGCTTCAAGAAACTCTTTCCACCCTGAGGTCCTACCTCACCCCCCCAGGAAAACACAAAGACATCAGAGTCCTCTTTTAGCAGTTCTTGAAATAGCTGTCAAAACTCACAAAATATTCTCCTCTTCATGGTAAATATCGTCTGATTCCTGCTGCTTAAATGATACGGTTTTAAATCTCACCATGGTGTTCATTTTCCTTTAAGTAAGGTCTTTTTCAAGTTTGCTCCCCACTTAATAGCTTCAGCTAACACTGATCTCTACCCTTCTTACTTATCAGTATAATTTTTCTCCATACATAGTATGTAAATATGGATTTATGAATATAGACATTTGGGCACAGGATTATAATAATTATTCAATTCTCTCTGTCAGTCTTTTTCTTTATGTTTTTTTTAATGTGGGGCTTGAACTCATGACTGTGAGATTGAGACCTGAGCTGAGATCAAGAGTCAGATACTTAACCAACTGAGCCACCCAGACACCCCATCTGCCTGTCTTTTTCATGTGCAAGGCACATATATTCAAAATTTTATTTTGTTCCGTTTTAATTTTCATGAATTCTGCCTGTGTAAGTTTTCTCTCCTCTAAATTCATGTAAATTCTTTTAGATGCGCAATGGAAAAAGCAAAATCATCCCTTAATTACCAAAGATGACTCGAAATTGGATAAAAGATCCTCAAATCACGACCATTTTCAGGCAGAAAACAACTGAAGAAAGCCATACCCAAGCACGGTTGGTAGCCTCTGAGATGGCCTTCACTGATCTCCACCTCTTGGCATAGTGATAACTCATGCCTTTGTGTATGTAATGCCCTCCCTGACTATGGGCTGGACCTAATGACTGCTTCTAATAACTAGAACACAGCACAAGCAATGGGATGTCACTTCCAAGACTGGTTACACAAAGACTGACTTCCATCTTGCTAGATCTCTGTTTCTCCCTTTCTCCCTCCCCCCTCTCTGAGTCCTCTATCACTCTGTCACATGCTCACCCTGATGGAGCCAGCTGTCATGATGTGAACTTTCCTGTGGAAAAGCCCAGATGGCAAGTAATTGAGGCTCACCTCTAGCTCAAACCAGCAAGCAACTGAGGCCCTCAGTCTAACAGCCTCGAGGGAACTGAATTTGGCCAATAGCCACGTGAGTGAGCTTGGAAATGGACCCCTCCCCAATGAAACACTGACATGACTACAGCCCCTAATGCTTTGATTACATCCCACAAGAAACCCTGAGCTCGAGTCTAAGCTGTGTCTTGATTCCTGATCCCCAGAAACTGTAAGATAAAAAATGATTACTAGTTTAAGCTGCTATGTTTCAAAGCCATATCCTATACACCGTAATAGATAACTAATATAATAAGTAATTGGTCTTACCAAAAGTAATGAGACTGCTTCAGTGGGTCAGGGGTTTCCTTTTGGGATGATGAAAATGTTCTGGAACTAGATGGTGGTAATGCGGACACAACATCATGGGAATACTAAATGCCACTGAGTTGTAAACTTCAAAGTGATTGATTTTGTTTTGTGAATTTTCCCTCAATATTTTTTTTTAAAAGGAAGCAGTACAAGACAAAGGAACTAGGAGAAAAATGAGAAGATAAAAGGAAAAAGAAAAGTTTATGGAAGGACACCCACAAGAAAAACAATGCATCACAAAGAATGAAAACTATGATCAAAATTTGGCACAAAGTTACTCAATGTAACGAATCTGTGGAGACAAATGTAGAGACCCCGGGGCTCAAGTGAGGGCAAGATGATGCAAGGAGCTGAAATTTACAAAAAAACCCCAAAAAACAAAAAACCAGCAAATGATAAAAAAGGTTTTACTGTGAAAGAAAGAAATAAGATGAGGGGTATGAAGGTGCTGTTCTCTTAATAAATAATTCTAGGATGATTTATCCCTTTAAATTACACAAATGTATAATTTATTTCAAAAGTAAACTTCAAACAGCCAAAAAAGAAAGTAGTAAAAAGATTTTAATTTTAAAACTCAAGCAAACTTTTTGTGCAGCTAAGGGTAGAATTAAGGGTAGCTACATTTGAACTTGGTCTTTTTTTCTCACGTACCCAAAGCCATCAAGGTACACTCTGCAATCAGGTATCCAATTCACAAACAGAAACTAGAACTTCTTTTCATAACAAGGTAAGATGTTACATGTACCACGGGCAGAGAGAGTTGTTTAAATTATTTTGCAATTAGGAAAATATTTCTTTGTCACAGCATGTATTTAGACTGCACTATCTCTGAGACTTAGTGTTTGCTTTTGGGAAATGTATATGCAACTTGTACTCAGGGTGTCCAAAGCAGCCCCGCTCCTGCCCTTCCTCATGTTGCTTTTCTTTTCTTTCTTTTTTTCCTTTTTTTAAAGATTTTATTTATTTATTTGAGAGAGAGAGGAGGAAAGAGAGCACAAGAGGGGGGAGGGTCAGAGGGAGAAGCAGACTCCCTGCTGAGCAGGGAGCCTGAGGCGGGACTCGATCCTGGGACTCCAGGGTCATGACCTGATCAGAAGGCAGTCGCTTAACCGACTGAGCCACCCAGGCGCCCATTCATGTTGCTTTCCTAGTTCAGTGATTCTTAACTCTGTGTTGTGGAATCAGGGTAGCTTAAAGGAATCAGGGTCCCATAATCAGAAATTCTGATTTGGCTGGGCTGGAATATGGCCTGGGCACTGGGGAGAAATAGACCATTGTTTCTAAATACAACAGAGAAATAAGACACATCTGTCTTCTAGATTGGAAGATACCAGAATTTGGGAAATACAGCTCTGAGAATGCCTCTGTTCCAAGACATCCTGGAAATACGTCCTGGAAATGTGGGTGGGATTGATGAAAAGCACCAGGGCCAAATCAATGTCTGTGAAGAATAGGAGATGTGGGAGGATGAGGTCTCAAACTGCAGGTTGGACGGAAGGGGCAGAGTACTGAGAATAGGGCAGCAAAAGGCTGGGCAGTTTGGTGTGTCCGAGTAGGGGCTTCCCAGTGAAAGGGATCATGTATGGTGCTTTCTCCTTAGAGTGTCCACACTCTATGTGCACAGAAATATTGAGTTCATAACAAGTCCTACTTATGCCTCTGCCCCAAATCCCCCATAATAATTCTTTGTGACTGATTCAGAAAGTGATCATCCTACATTTAGAGACAAACCACTGGCAAAGATGGGGTCATGGGTTGACTTTTGTGCCCCTAAGATCCATATGTTAAAGTTCTAACATATAGTATCTCAGAATGTAACCTGATTTGGAGATAGGCTCTTTATGGAGTTAGTCAAGTAGAAGTGAGGTCATATTGGGGTAGGCTGTCCAATATGACTGGTGGCCTTATTATAAGGGGAAATTAAGACACAGAGATAAGCACAGACGGAAGACAAAGATGATGCGACAGAGAACAGCGCCAGGTACCAGTCACGCAGAGAAGCTGGAACAGATCTCTCCCTCACAGCCCTCAAAGGGAGCCAATGTAGCCATGCCCTTGATTTTGAACTTCTAGCCTCCAGACCTGTGAAAAAAATACATTTTTGTTGTGTAAGCTATCCAGTTTGTGGTACTTTGTTACATCAGCCCTAGAAAACTAATACAGAGGATACCGGCCTTTCCTTTAGGGTGAGAGGGCTTTTATTCAGAACTACAATTCCTGTTTCTTTGACAGGGGCAGGAAATATCAGATTACCCCTAGAGCGAGCCAAATGATTTATTCCAATGTAATAAAAAAAAAAAAGTCATGTGGCTCCCCCAAAGAATTCAATTTTTAATATCAAAATGTGTCCTTACAGTATCATGGGAATTCTATATTTGGCCTTTGTCCCCAGTTCCCGGCACATTGATCCTAAAACCTTTGGAATTTCCTGAGTGATAGGAGTGCCTTTTGATATTCATAATGAGCATCTTTCAATCATACCTGAGTTTATGTTAATAAGGTGACTCTCGAGGGCCCCTAGATAGCATCAGGATGGGGGCTGCTCTTCAAAAAGAACAAGGCATGACTAGAGGGTTGGGACATTCAGCCGTACTCCCTGACCTCCAGGGACACAAGAGGGGGCTACAGATTGAGTTCAATCACCAGTGGCCACACAGTCAATCATGCCTGAATAAAGAATCCTCCATAAAAACCCCCCAACAATGGGATTCAGAGAGCATCCAGGTTGGCGAATACATGAAGGTGCTGGGAGGGTGGCATGTCCAGAAAGGACATGGAAGATGTGTGTCCCTTCCCCCACACCTCGCCCTGTGCAGCTCTTCCCTTTGGCTCTTCCTAACCTGTATCCTTTACAATAAACCCATAATAGTATGTAAAGTGTCTTCCTGGATTCGGTGAGACATTCTAGGGAATTGACAAACCTAAGGAGGAAGTTGCCAGAACCCCTGATTTTTGTAGCAAGTCAGACAGAAGTCAGGTGGGTAACCTGCTACCTGACACTTGCAACTGAGTTGGAAGTGGGAACAGTTTGGGACTGAGCCCTTAAAACTGCAGAGTCTGATGTTAACTCCAAATAGTTACTAGCAGGATCAAATGGAATTGTCAGAAATCCAGCTGATGTTTGGAGACCTGGAAAACTGTAAAGTCACAAACATCTATGTCCTGAAAGGCAAATAGGAAGATTATGGCCATACTGTTATTCATTCACCTACCCTTTGAGGTACACCTACCACATCACAGCTTCTCGTTGCTGCCCCTATAACTCAATGGAATGGCAAGGAGAGGACAACGGGCTTCTCAGGAATCGCGGCCACTGATTCCTAAAGAGTCGCCCAGGAGCTTGTGCTCCATCTTCAACTTCCAGTTTGCTATAAAGCCTTCTTGACGCCAGCTCTCCTTAGCAGCCTCTGCCTGGGCGGCAGCTGAGCACAGACAGGAAGAGTGGGAGAGCGTGGGTGAGCCAGGAAGGAAACCAACCTGGCTTCAGCCCCCACCAGCTCTTCCTTTCTTCTCCCTCCTACTCTGGTGCTTCAAGGCCTTTTTTCTCACTTTGGACAAGAAATAAAGGTAGCATGAAGTGCAAATTACTGGTTGGCAGCCACTGCAGTTTTTGTCTCCGACAATTCTCATTCCTGAGCCACTTAGATTTCCCTGGGCCAAGTCAATTTCCTCCCTCCTCTTCCGTCTGCTTATCCAACACGAGCACACCATCCCCGATCCACACAGAGCCCCAGAAACACAGACGTAAGCCCTCTGCCTTCCCTGCTTCTCACTCCTGTGCTCTTTGACCTGCTGGAGTGGGACATTTGTGAGTTGCTTTGCTACTTTTCTTCCAACTTTCACTTCATATAATTACAGAAAACCATCAAGGTCACGTAACTTTTGGAGAACCTAAGAGAACCTGAGAAGCAAAACTATACTAAAAATGCAATTGACTACTCTTATCTTCACAATAAGTTAATGTATTATGTTTTAGAAACTTCATTAGATCTGAATGGAGTAAAGTCTACAGACAAGAAGGAATACTTTAGAATTGCATATTCAGCCCCCCTCACTCCCAGAGTTCAGACTGTTATGTTGGAGCATAGTGGCTACATGCCCAGACCTTTGCAAAGAGATTTTCCTTTGTCCCTCCTTAGGAAGTTTCCTTTGTAAACTTTTAACGTGCAAAGTATTTTATAGGTTTATATGCCAAAAATAAACTATTATGTACTCTGTGAGTTATAAAAGGAATTTTTGGAGTAATTCTGACTATACCCAATTTACCCTATACAATGATTTAGAATTCCATTTTTTAAGTAAATCTTTATCCTCTTATTTTAACATAGCACAGGCAACTGAAATATAAATATTCTAGCTTTTCAGTATTTCCTGTTTTTTAAATATCCAC